AATTTTTTAAAAAGAAAAAGAAAAATACGCCAGGCACAAGTGGGTATGTGCCCGAAATCCTGACAGGAGGAAGACATGGAGGAAAAGGAATTGTGGCATGACCATTCTCCGTGAAGGGTGCTTTCTTCCTCGCTCTCTTTTTGTCTCTCTTTGACAAATGCATGCACCCTCTGGCAAATTAGAAAAGGAAATTCTACTATCTATGCCTCTGTGTTCTAGATCTCAACTATAGGACCATGTTAACTTTTCTACCATGAAAGTCCTTTTGATTTAAATAGATCTCTTTTAGCAAATGTCCTAGGTTCAAGCTCAAAGCAGAAGGGCAATGATGCTTGTAGTATGACAGAGGCCCAGCTCAAGAAGTGAACGAGAAGGCTGGCCCTATAGTACATCACTTAACCACTGTGCTGAGGAGCTGGATCCCACGTGGCTAGCCATGGTTCAGATTCTGATCCTGGTCATTTGAAAAACATGCTGGGCATGCAAGCCCCAAATCCTGACAGAATGTAGAAATGGAGGAAAAAGGATTGTGGCATGACCATAGCCCATGGGAGTGGGTGGTGCTTTCTCTCTCTCTCTCTCTCTTTCTTCTCTCTCTCTCTTCCTGATGAGCACACATACTCTCTGGCAATTAAAAAAAAAAATTGGACCAGAGAGACATTGAAGGTAAAATTTCATTCATGATAGAAGACTATTTATAAGTTCAGGTTTTCTGGGACCAGCAATTAGCGTAATGGCTATGTCGCTGGACTCCCATGTAGTCCACCGCGGTTCACGTCCCGGACCCGGTGGCTTAAAACTCACACCAGGTGCGTGTGTGTGCGTGCCCAAGATCCCGAGAGGAGAATGGAGGAGAAGAGATTGCAGCATGGTCATCCCCCCTGGGGGGTGATTTCTCACTTTCTGTCTCTCTGTCTCTGTCTGTCTGTCTGGCGAGTGCCCTATAGCAAAAACCTCTCAAAAAAAAAGACCAGTTTTTCTGTCCATAACAAGATGATGATTTCTGGCAAAATCACGACAGAGATTTTTAAAGAGAACTCTTTTTTAAGTTTATTTCTTTCTTTCATGAGAGTGAAAGAGAGAAAGACAGAGAGAAAGAATAGATATATATAGATATATAGATATATATTTGAGAGAGAGAGAGACTAGCATCCTGCTAGAAACTGAGAAGGATGGGGAGGGACTAGAGGGATGTCTATTAACAGAAACAAAATTACAGATAGATAAGAAAAACCATTTCTAGCATTATAACATATGGTAGGAAGACTATAGTTAACAACTTACTGTATATTTTAGAGTAACTAAAAAAACAGAATTTTGAATGTCCCCAACAGAAAGTAATGATAAATGGTTGAGATGATGGGTATACTGATTACCCTGATTTAATCACTAACACATTGTATTCTAATACTGAAAAAAAATCAGACATATCCTATTTGAATGAACCCTTCAAATTCCCATACTGCACCTCCGCAGATATGTACAGTTGTTATATGTTAACAAACAAAGACAATCTTCCCTTTTCCAACTTTTTTTTTTTCTTAGAGATTTTTGGTAGGGACCAGCAGATGTCATAATGGCTACATTGCTGGACTCCCATGTAGTCAACCGCAGTTTGAGTCCCGGACCTGGTGGCTTAAACTCACGCCAGGTGCGTGTGCGTACGTGCTCAAGATCCCAAGAAGAGAATGGAGGAGAAGGGATTGCGGCATGGCCATCCCCCCAGTGGGTGATTTCTCACTTTCTGTCTCTCTGTCTCTCTCTCTCTTTCTGGCAAGCACACATGCCCTACAGCAAAAACCCTCAAAAAAAAATAAAAGATATTTTTGCTATAGGGCACATGTGCTCCCCAGAGAAACAGAAAGACACAAAGTGAAAAATCACACCTCCTCTGGCCCCTGGGAGGGTGGCCATGCCTCAATCCCTTCTCTTCCATTCTCCTCTCTGGGTTTTGGGCATGAATGCACATGCACCCAAGCATAAGTTTCAAGCCACCAGGTCTAGGACTTGAACTGCATTGACCACGTGGTAGTCCAGTACGTTAACCACTACATTACCTGCTGGTCCTACCTTTCTCAACTATTAAGCAACATGGTTTCACTCCATAATTCCCACTCCCTAGTCTTTTTGACCAGCCAGGATCATGGGCACCTGCACCCAGCTTATACAGGTCAACTGGAGAAACAAACCTAAAATCTTCCATATGGGTCCAGCACCACATGACGGTATGTTACTTGAGAGACTGGGTTATAAAGACTATGGTTTCTCTTGGGGGCGGTAGGTGGTGTGGTGGTTAAGTGGCTAAGGCACTAGACACTCCCACATGGCTGATCACAGTTCAAGTCCCGGACCTGGTGGCTTGCTTTCTTTCTCTCTCTCTCTCTCTCTCTCTCTCTGTGTGTGTGTGTGTG